GAAAATGCGGTAAATTGCGGTCAACTGTATTATATTTCTGTCTAGAAGAGTGAATGCTTGTAGATTAGATCAGGGTAGCTGAACCGATATGATCGTCAAATGTCCTTTTATTTTTGTTCCAACTGTTTTATCGATATTCATTTTCCACGCGTAAGGCAACAACGTTTCAAAATTCACAATATAAATTATTCTTTTATGTATGAATTGAAAATTATTATAAAAATGATCGTCATTCATTAGATATTTTAAATTATTACGATATCCTTTATGATATAATACGAAATAAGATATAATTTTATTAAAAAAAAAAAAAAGAAAAAAAAAGGATTAAATTTTTTGCATATATACGACATTGCATGAAAATGTACCGACTTGTCCAGTCGGCATGTCGAGGCTAGGGAGAGGCCTTTCAAGGTCCTCGGGGATTTTTATACGGCGGGAAGTAGGAACGGATGTATAAAGGTCGACGAGGACCGGTCGTATAGCTATAGAACGAATTCGATCCTAAAATCGATAAACATGTCAGACACAAAGGGATCGTTCGTCGGCATGTAAAACATTTGTATCGTAGAGCATCGTGAAATTTCAGGCTTGCGAAACGCGTCGTGTCCGAATTAATTCCGGACAATCGAAGGTTGATTTTGGTGCGTAGAAATATAATACACTATCGTGTGTGTATATATTATGTAATGTATTTCCGTAAAATAAGCGTTACTCGTTATACTGCTACTGTATTGGTGGTTTTCAATTACAATGCTTCTTTATAACCTATGATTACGAGCATAACACGTGACTACACTTGTTAGTTTTATCAAGTATGGACGATTTGATTTTATCATGTGTACAGTATAAGATAATCACAGAAGTCGAGATAGTCACAGATCACAGAAATCGTACCTTAAATTGATCATTTTATTCTATCTTTTATTTCTTTAAAATATATAATAATTCTTCCATCTAAAGAAAAAAAAAAAAGAAAAAAAAATATTATACCGCAATAGAAATAACAATTTTTAATCATTTCCTATATCTGCATCTTTGAATTATCAGATGGAACGGAATTCAGTTGAATCTCGATAAAATAAATTCTAGGATGTACCGCTAATTACAAATGTACCGATGAAAAAAACCCGTGGAATCAAGCTCGCAAGTTAAACGTAGCCTTGTTCTTCGGTTGATGACGTTCACTGTACAGTCCTCGTGTACTCGCCGGTATCGTATGTGCCTCGTATACGGATTCACGGGCCGGTGAATGCAGAAACCGTGTGTTTCTGAAGAATAGTAATCGTTGTTGCGGAGTGTCAGTCCTCACCGCTCGCGTGGTGAAGGTGTATATGAGAACGGCACGCGTGTATATCTATCGGTTCGCGTATAGTTGTGTATCGGTGTGCGGATGCTCGCGGTGGTGGCATAGGTAGTACCAGGGGATCACCGAGCGAATCCGGAACGTTTCATTGTCGTACACGCGGCGGCCGCATCGCGATCGTGCTGTCGCTATCGATCCAGTTACTTCTCATTCGTAGTTGGAAAACTTTTTCTTCTTTTTCCCGCGGAGGGAAATTTCGTTCTTCTTCGGCTCGGTTCATCGCGCGCGGAACATCGTTCATTGTCCCGGGATGCGCTAATTCGTACCTCAAATGCGTCGTATTCGCGAATTACTGGAACGGGGTGAATCCTCCTCGTCCCATGACTCAGTTCACGGAAAGTCGGCTTTATTAATAGTCCTTTAGCGCGGACTATTCGGCAAAGTGTTTTTTGTGCGTACCAGAGAAAGTGGCGTTGAATCAAATTATGAGGCGGCCAAATAACCGTGAAGAGGAACGTTGAGCCGATCGTGAGTTGGAGCTTCTATTTTTCGCGTGACTCTTCATATTCTCGCTTTTATACACGATATTGTATTTTCTGCAAACGTGTGATTATATATTCAAACGAGGCACGCGTTTTTTTTTCTTTTCCGTATTCCGTATATTCCATTGAATTCCGGAATTGAGATTACGCAAGCAAAGATGCGTTAACGAACAACGGTTATACATCGGTGTGTTTCGATCGTTCTACTTTTCTATCATTCCTTCAAACTCAACCATGTAGATACGTGTAAATGTTAGTAAACGGCAATGAATTTTTCTTGTGCAAACGATGTGGCAGACCTTCGTTCATAATCTTATCAAAGCTACGTTACGTGTATTTGGAATATAAATATATATAACGATCGGGAAGACCGTATATCGGTGCACATTAAAATCCTCACAGGTGTGGTAATTAATTTTATTTAAATTACAACAAGCCGGAATTATGTGACTATAGGATCATAACACGCGTCACGTGTGCTTGTCACTTACGTGGTCGCGCATGTAGTGAACCGAGTATATAAATTGCAGATCAACGTTGCCAAACGCGCAACTTTGCTTCCCGATTGATAAAATGTTGCAAAACTATAACATTTTTTTCCTCGTCCTCCTTTCTCTTTTTTTTCTTTTTTTTTTTTTTTTTTTTTTTT